TAAGAACAACCACTAAAAAATAATGTGTAGACAGAAAATGACAGTTAATTGCTGCTAAATACCTAAGCAGTTAATTAGTCCCTATCAAGTCCAAGTGCTTTAGTATCTCTCACCAGCTTACTCGTGTAGCTTCTGTCAGCCCACATGTTTAAGTTGAACAGATCACATCTACTTGAATTATCAGCATTCTTTCCTTTAAAAATGTTAAAATGAAGCCGTGCTTTCTCTTCCCTCTCTCATGGGATACAGTGGAACCTAACCACAACATTTGAAATGCCATCACTAATAGTCACCATGGAAACGGAAGATCTCTGATGTCACACTGCTCGTACCATTTCCAAAAAGGCAAATGTAGCCACTATTTAAAAAGCCACTCAGGACCCCCAACAGAATGATTTTTCCCCCCCTTTGGAAGTTTGGCTAGGTATCAGGTCCAATCATGTTACTGTTTCTATTTGCAAAGCTAATTGCTATGCATCAAGACTAACAGCTATTCCCCAAGCTCCCCCTCCTACCTTCGTCATAAGCAGTATTCTATTTGTGTTCTTTCAAGTAGAAAATTAATATGGCCATTGGCCAAGAATTGTACAAGGTTGATATCATACAGTGATGATGAGAAATGAGGAAAATGTCTGACTGGTTGATAGGAATCACTGAAGTCAGAGACTGATAGCCATTTTGTTTAAGCCTTTTAAAAAGACAAAAAAAGGAGAGAAAAGAAGCTTAAATTTAGGGTGAGTAAACGAGTCACTGTGGAGATGAGATCATTCTAAATCACGATGCTCAGAGTGAGGACTCTAAAGCCACATCGACAATTCCTACTAGTGAAAAAAATCAATGTGCCTGTGCCGGGCATAGTCCAGTGTGGCTTCTTAGGACTGAGATTAATGGTCTTGTCCCCAGAACCCCTGATTAACAAAATGATATGTGGGCAGGAACTAATCATTGTTTGGTTTCATTAAACTACAAATAGCTGAGATATACTTTACTGGGCCCCAGAAACTTAACCTGTGTTCCAGGATGCAGCTTATCTCCTCTGTTTGAGGTGAAGGCAGTTTTATTCTTTGCATTATAGTCTACTTGAAGGATGCGTTTGTAACTAGATGTGTCTGGTAATGGACTCATAATCTAAAATGCCTAGGAAAGCTTTTCCTCATTCTGGCGTATCTCTTTGCTAATGGA